AAAGTTATCTTTTTAAAACAGAAAGCCAAAAATATATTTTTAAAAATATATATACAAATTTTAAATCTGCAGAAAATATAAGGAATAGGGAGAATGGAAACCCCATACATGGTAGGTTTGGGGATTTCTGTTTGAAAATTTTCAGGCATGTGTTACATGGAAGCTTGCTTCTCTCTCCTATATCCTGCTTATCTCAAAATACTAAAATGACAAAACTAAGCCTGTGTAGATCTTTAGAAGTGTACTTCAGTTTGTGTTTTTAAGAAAACAAAGTGATAAGCCTCAGATATTATACTGATGGGTAAGTCATAAGAACAGGGGATACACATCAAAGCAAAAACATTTGCCATCCTCCATCCAATTGGTCTGTTAAAGCTGATCACAAGGCAGCTGGTCACAATGATTAATAAGTATCTATTGACTGATGTCCATTGTTCATTTGATATAGAAATAATTTCCTTGTAATAAAACATGGTTATTAGTTCAATATTATTTTATTTAAAATTGCCATTGCATTAGTTTTTAGTGCACGCTCTTGCATTTCACTGGCAACAGTAGACCATTATCCTGTGACAACCTATGGTTCTGAATGTAAAACTCGTGTTTTGCATGAAGGACCAGAGTTTTACAAGAACTCAATCTCCAGCAGCTCCATTGAAGGTAGTGCTGTTGGGTGCTGAGTCTTCTTGACATTCTGACCCCAGTAGAACACAACACTTTTGAAAATCTGATCCTGTGGATCTGAATAAGTAACATTCACATCCATTTTGCACAGGTATAAAAGTATTACATGAGAAAGCAGGCCCTTACAGTATTTCAGTTCCCTGAGGTATATTCAAAATTTAACAGTAGAGATTTTTTTCTATCAACACATGACATATTAATAGAGTCTTAGCATTTAGTATACTGCATGTTTCCCTGTTTTATACACAGACAAAATGTTTCTCTTTCAGGTATTATTCTCCTGGATATTCTGAAGCACTTCTGGAAAGGGTGGAAAATTATCAACCTGTTCTATAAACTCTTCAGTTTTTCTGTTTTTAAAGGCCTTATTTCACATTTGTACTTTTGTGATATTGCAAATACAATTTTGAAACTCTTGCCAGATTCTGAAATGCTCACCTTTCTGAACTATTAATCACCATTATAAATTTGTTGTCATTTTGAAGAAATAATCTTGACACCTTGAGGTAAGTTTAGAAAAGAGATTCAGAAAATAGATTCTCCAAGTCAAGTGTTCATTTTTTCCAAAATCCATATCTTGCAGGGTGCTGAGGACTTTTAGGATGTTATTGTGAACTTTCTCTGACTCCTGTGTAGTCCAGCAAGCTGTATTTTATTAATTATAAAATCATTGCTTTCCAAATTTTGCTCCTTCCTTTTTCACTTTCCTCAGTCATCAATGTATCACCATCCAAGAGTGACAATTCGTGACACACAGGCTAGGTACAAACATTCAAAAAGATTGAGGAGGAATTGATTTAAGTTCTGCCGTTTTCTGTAAGTGGTGTAGTTTAGATCAGTAGCGAACAGAACACATATTAGCGCTTTGGTTGAGGGGGGGAATCTTATATTGGGTTCTGCCATTTTTAAACCAGTCTATGTGCGTTGAACCTCTCTTCTGGTTCTGTTATGAGTATAGACCTGTTTTGTGTGCTGAACTTATGTTCTGTTATAGCTATAGAGTGGTTTCCGATCGCTTATGTCAGTAAAAGTGGAATGTCTGTACCTGGTCACAAACTCTGCAGAATCAGTCCTTATCCTTTACTTTCTCACAGAGAGTAAATGGGACCAGGCTTTGCCCCTCCGCCCCCCTCCAGCATTGGAACAATTACTCCCTCTGTGCCTTTATATGCAGTTGAAAGCATCATCTGTCAGGGACAACTTTGCTTTTTTATTCTGTAGTCTGTGTTCTGTTCTGAAATGTTCCCAACTCACTTTGGAAAGCAACAGGCTATTTCTGCAATGACATTTGAGCTCTGAAGATGGCTGCGCCTCTACACTTACAGCAAAGCTATCCTGATCCACTGTAATTAGAGTGGTAATTACTGCGCTCCAGCAGATTCCAGCATCATGTGTATCAGCATTCTCACACTGAAAAATGGTGGTGGGAGTGCTTTAACTAAAGCTTGTTTGATGAGCTTTAGTTAAAGCACTCCCACCACCATTTTTCAGTGTGGGGACACTGATATCCATGACACTCCAGGCATTTTAATTAGAGTGGCTCTCAGAGACACTCTAGTTAAAGTGCACCCCCCCTCCCGGCGTGCGCACACACTCCTAGAACACATGTATAAATGCTCTTGGGGCCTAAAATAGACAAGCCATTAGATCTGACCACAGTATAAGGGCCATATTCTGCCTTGTTTGGTGGAGCCAGCATGGTGAATGAGGGATGGTAGCTATTGCATCCTGTGTAGGCGTCCTGCAGGTCAAAGCAAGATTTCTCATGATGGCAACGCATCATACTTGCATTGATTCTCTGAGGAGGGAGAGAGTGAGCAACCAGCAAAAACTTTCTGCAAGTGCACCAGGGACTATCGTCTATAAGGTCTTGCAATAATCAGAGCACTTTTAACCTAGCTGAAGATAATGAGAGTACCAAGGGTATTCAGCATTTGCTCAGTCACAAGTGACACAGGCAGACTCTGCATGTGGCATGTGACAGATCAGGGAGGGGACATTCAGCACAGCAGCAGATAGGACAAGAAGCATACAGCAAAGCAGCAGATCAAACAGGGAGCACAGGGTAGGATACAGAAACCAGAGCAGCAGACTGGGCAGCAGAATGTATTGGAGTGGCACTTAGTGCAGGTACAGGGCTAATTTGGTGCACACATGCCAAAAAAGTTAGCTTTCACTGTGCTGTACCCAGAAGCCCGCAGGATTGGTGCCAAGAATAATGTCTGTAAGGTACTCAGTGCCTTCAAAAAGAAATTAGGGATACTGTTCTCAGTGATTTAAGTGAGCGAAGTTGAGGTTTTTTCAGTGCTCGGAGACTATCAGTATTCTGTGGAATTGAGTCCAAAGAACTCTGGAGCCTAGATAGGGCCTGTCATTGCAGGTCAGATCCACTTGGATATAACCCACTCACTGGAGCAGTCTGGAAAGATTTTACCCTGTTACGTGGTATGAAAAGACGAGTAGTGTAACAAAGGCGACGGAACAACCTAAGTGCCAGCCTGGGGTAGGAAACAGGCAAAAATAGCAGCAGCTGCTGTGCTGCTTGCCTTATTGTTGGCAATACAGCAACTGAAGCTGCACCCCGCCCCCCTCCCTCCATGCCCATGTTGCCCAGAGTGCTCAAGCGCCCAGTTACATCTCTGGAAAATACTCTTAATTTCTATTTACTCTTCTTATATATCAATGCAGCACAGGGCAGCAGTTGCCCTTTAGTATTCATTAACTTACCTGGAATTGTCTTTTGTTGTTCTTTTTGTATTACTGTGTTCCTCCTTGTTAACATGTGATGTTTTCTTTCAAAGACTATAACCATTCTTTCTGGAATAGCATACTGAAACATTTGCAACTGTAAGGGAAGCTGGAGTTTAAGAACCCCTGCAGGAAAAAGAAGGTTTTTGACATAAATAAAATGTGTCAAATTAACTTTTTCCATTTTCTTAAATATGTTAAATGAGTAAGTTTATAAAACAGATATAATCTCTTCCAGGATTTATAAAACAGGAGCAAAGCTTCACTGTAGTTGGAAATGATTTAGAGTGGGCTTCTTCTGATCAATTCTAAATTACAGTACTGTATTCTTTTATACTTGTCAGCATCTTTTTTAGCAGTTCAGAAAAATATCTCTGGGCTATCTGATGTAGAGGCCTAATTCTGCAAATGGCTGAATGCTGCAATGAGGTGTTGAGTGCTGTCAACTTCTAAAGTGCCTTGCAGTTATGTAGCCCTAACTGAAATGGAAACAGACTAGGCCCGTGAATACAGATGTTAAACCATTTATAAACTGTACCAGCTGGGTTCTTTCTTTAGCCACACCAGAATAAAAACACACTAAAGAGGCTTGGAACTTCATACATTTTAATCAAAGTGCATTTTTCTTTTGGCTTAATATTCTGCCATTATTAATGCTAAGGAAAAACTCCAGGTCTTGCAAAGAATTACTGTAATGCTGTATACATTTTCTTATGCATACAGGGACACTTAGTACATTAAACTCTATAGAATCCCCACCAGGATAATGTAGAATAAATTAATTAAACCAGCAAACATTAAGGGATCCACAGTATGTATTTTCTTTCAGGAAAGAAAATGTCCTATCACACCCTTTAACTTAGGGGTTTTCAACCTTTTTTAATGAGTGTACCCCTTCTGTCTCAAAGTTTAAGCTTATGCATCCCTTTATATTTTTTTGTGCACCGCTACAGCTGCCCCAGAAACTGCGTGATGCCACATGTCTGCTGCCATGGGGCTGCGCTGTGCCCCTTGCCCGCCTGGTGGTGGGATGCATGTGGCGTTGCAGCGATAGCTGTAGTGGGGTGCAACATGTAGTGCGCAGCAGCCGCCGCCTCTGCCCCATACACAGATCGGGGGATGGAGGCATGTGCTCCTGGACCTCTTCTGGGGTGTGCACAGTGGCGGGAACTCCCCCGCAGCCCTGAACGAACCTCCTGGGCTCCGATCCAGCACTCGACCCAGCCAGGGCCCCATTCACCCCAGACCCTGCCCCTTCCCCTGCCCCTGCTTGTGCCCTGCTCCCTCCCTCACTGTGGGGCCCTTAATCTACCTGCTATGCCCCTTTCCCCTCCCCTCCTCCTACAG